GTAGAAAAAACATTTCAATTGGTGGCAAAACATCTCAATTGGAGGCTAAAAATCTACATTGGGGTTTAGTGGCAGAAATGACCAATTAGATTTCAGTAGCTAAGAATACTTTTCTGTGCCCTCGCCCTTCTCTGGCGTCTTGTCGGCACCATCAAGTGAATGAAGGGAATGTCCTCTCTGGGGCCACAGATTCTACTTGTCATAAATAACATATTTAAAAGTTGTAACAAATAATAAATGGATTTATTTTCACTTCCTGTCCTGCAAAACCCCCCCATAGAGAAATCCTATTCCCATTATTATGGACCATTCAGAGTGGAATCATTAGCCATATAATCTCCGAATTTGGGCTTTTAGCCAGTTTTCTATCCATTTACAAACTGATTTTCCCAAGTCTGTAGACTTCACCTTACAGCTGTGTGTGGGGGGAAGCTGTGTCCATCGCTTTTACAAATCCAAGTATACCACGTCCACCGCCGCCCCTCCGTCCAAGTACGCCCCAAGCCGCCCCACTCCGCCAAAGTACGCCCCAGAGCCGCCCTTCCGCCCAAGTACGCCCCAGCCGCTCCCTCCGCCCAAGTACGCCCCAGCCGCCCCTCCGCCCAAGTACGCCCCAGCCGCCCTTCCGCCCAAGTACAGCGCCCCAGCCGCCCTTCCGCCCAAGTACGCCCTTCTGCCCAAGTACGCCCCAGCCCCCCAAGTACGCCCCAGCCGACCAAGCACGCCAGCCGACCCCTCCGTCCATGCACGCCCCAGCCGACCCCCAACCGTCCAAGCACGCCCCAGCCGACCCCTCCGTCCAAGCACGCCCAGCCGACCCTCCGTCCAAGCACGCCCCAGCCGACCCCTCCGTCCAAGCACGCCCCAGCCGACCCCTCCAGTTCCAAGCACGCCCCAGCCGCCCCTCCGTCCAAGCACGCCACCGCCGCCCCTCCGTCCAAGCACGCCACCGCCGCCCCCATCCGTTCAAGCACGCCAACCGCCGACCCCTCCGTCCAAGCACGCCAACCGCCGCCCCCTCTGTCCAAATTACGCCACAGCCTCCCCTCCGTCAAATACGCCACAGCCGCCCCTCCGTCCAAGTACACAACCGCCACCCCTCCGTCCAAGTATGCCCCATCCGCCCAAGTACGCCCCAGCCGCCCCTCCGTCCAAAGTACGCCCACAGCCGCCCCTCCGTCCAAATACGCCACAGCCGCCCCCTCCGTCCAAATACGCCACAGCCGCCCCTCCGTCCAAATACGCCACAGCCCACCCCCTACCATTCCCCCCCCCCCCTCCAAATACGCCACAGCCGCCCCCCTCTCGTCCAAATACGCCACAGCCGCCCCTAGCCGTCCAAATACGCCACAGCCGCCCCTCCGTCCAAATACGCCACAGCCGCCCCTCGCGTCCACAATTACGCCACAGGCGCCCGACCTCTCCCGTCAGAGTATAACACAGCCGCCCAAGTACACCCCATCCGCCCAAGTATACAACCGCCGCCCCTCCGTCCAAGAAAACCACCTTGCCGCCCCTCCGTCCAAATACGCCACAGTCGCCCTCCGTCCAAGTACACCCCATCCGCCCACAGTATTCCATAGCCGCCCTCTCGTCCAAGTACATCCCGTCCCATGAGGCATTGCAAAACTGACTCAGTATAGACGGACGGCGGCCCTCAGCACAGAGCCCTCAGTATAGACGGACGGGCCCCGCCCAGCACAGAGCCCTCAGTATAGACGGACGGGCCCCGCCCAGCACAGAGCCCTCAGTATAGACGGACGGGCCCCGCCCAGCACAGAGCCCTAGTCAGTATAGACGGGACAGTCCACGGTACCACTTGAAGCTGCCGCAGTAAATGTAAGTTGGTCAGTAAACACTTTAACCACCCAAACTAAAACAAACGTTGGGATGGAATAATCTTCGGGATGAAAGTCACAACTACAGGAAATGCTTTACATTATAAACGACCCCCCCATGTGCAGCTCCAGCAGGACACGTGTCAGATGTACTTTCAGCTGACGTCCCTCAATGTTTCAGCACCGATGGCCTGCCGAGAGAAAGAAAAACCCTTCAGCATTTCACACATTTGTGGTCATACATACACATCACACAACACGGCTATGTCTCCTCATTAGTACACAGGGGGGGCGGCAGAGACATGAGTGACACCTTCTTGCCTTTACATAAGACACTCAACACAAGCAGGACGCCTTGCCATTATCTAGAGAGTTTATTTAACCCTTTCACTGACAAAGTCGCTTGTGTTCCCGGCACAAATGCTTAAAATAAATAAATAGATATCATTTTTAGGCCCGAAGATTACATAAAATCCCTCAAAAAACTTTTTTTTTTTTTTTTAAAAAAAGGGTAGGTTTGGAATATTTTGTGTGTTTGTGTGCAACTAGTTTTTTTTTACTATTAAAAACTTTTTTTTTTTTATCATCTCATAGACGGGACATTAAAGCCCCCTATGTTGATGATTTTTTTTAGGAAACAGATCATGGTTAATGAGACACTCGGGGTGTAATAGACCCGGCATGAATCCCCTGAATGTAATGCAGTGCGGATCGCATTGCATTCCATTATTTCCTGGTCATGCTGGTTGGGGACACAGAGGCTGACCTGACAGTGACATCATACACATGGCTTTCTGGGGGTGTCTGGTCTTGCTGTGCACTCCTGACATTCCTCCTCACATTGGACCGTTTTCTACCATCCCCAGCTACCACCTTCCTACCCAGACAGATCCTCCCCGCCCCCGCCCACCTGCAGTGATCAAACACCAGACTTCTGTGGAATTCTAATGAAGAAGCCCAGGGATTAGGAGGTCTGACAAAACTTCCCTATAGGGGGTGCCGGACAAACGCCTTGTATGGGGGTTGTGCCGGACAACGCACTGTAGCGGGGTCTCGGACAAACGCCCTTTAGGGTGTGCCGGACAGCAACCTGTAGGGGGTGCCGGACAGCAACCTGTAGGGGGTGCCGGGACAGCAACCTGTTGGGGGTGCCGGACAGCAACCTGTTGGGGGTGCCGGACAGCAAACCTGTTGGGGGTGCCGGACAGCAACCTGTTGGGGGTGCCGGACAGCAACCTGTTGGGGGTGCCGGACAGCAACCTGTTGGGGGTGCCGGACAGGCAACCTGTTGGGGGTGCCGGACAGCAACCTGTAGGGGGTGCCGGACAGCAACCTGTAGGGGGTGCCGGACAGCAACCTGTAGGGGGTGCCGGACAGCAACCTGTAGGGGGTACCAAACAAACGCCATGTGCTGGACAAGCGCCCTGTAGGTGGTGCCGGACACACATCCTGTAGCAGGTGACGGACAAAACGCAATGTAGGGGGTGCCCAACAAACGCAACGAAGGGGGTGCAAAACAACCGCCTTGAAAGGAGTGGCGGAAAAACACCCTGTAGGGGTACCGAACAAACACCTTCTCGGTGGTGCCGGAAAGAGCCCAGTAGGGGGTGCCGGAAACACGTCCTTTAGGCAGATGCCGGACAAAACGTCTTGTAAGGGGTGCCGGACATACGCCCGTAGGGAAGTTTTGTCAACCTTTTAACCGTCAAGTCAATTTTTTCTTCTAAATTTCAGGGAAACCCCTTAAATAATTTTCAGTCTGCAGTCCCAGTAGATCAGCACAAATCAGTGAATGTTCACTATTTATCATAAACATTCACATTTGTAACCAGAAGCTTTGTCTGTAGAAGAAACATTTCATTTGTTGGCTAAACATCTGCATTGGGGTTTTAGTAGCAGAAATGACCAAATTAGATTTCAGTAGCTAAGAATCCTTTTCTGTGCCCCGCCCTTCTCTGTGTCTTGTTGGCACCATCAGTGGATGAAGGGAATGTCCTCTCTGGGGCCACAGATTCTACTTGTCATAAATAACAATATTTAAAGTTGTAACAAATAATAAAATGGATTTATTTTCACTTCCTGTCCTGCAAACCCCCCCCATAGAGAAAATCCTATTCCCATTATTATGGACCATTCAGAGTGGAAATCATTAACCAATAATCTCTGAATTTGGGCTTTTAGTAAGTTTTCTGTCCATTTACAAACTGATTTTCCAAGTCTGTAGACTTCACCTTACAGCTGTGTGTGGGGAGCTGTGTCATCGCTTTTACAAATCCAAGTATACCACGTCCACCGCCGCCCCTCCGCCCAAGTACGCCCAGCCGCCCCTCCGTCCCAGTACGCCCTTCCGCCCAAGTACGCCCCAGCCGCCCAAGTACGCCCCAGCCGCCCCTCCAACCAAGTACGCCCTTCCGCCCAAGTACGCCCCAGCCGCCCAAGTACGCCCCAGCCGCCCGTCCACCCCAGTACGCCCCAGCCGCCCTTCCGCCCAAGTACGCCCCAGCCGCCCAAGTACGCCCCAGCCGCCTTACGCCCAAGTACGCCCCAGCCGCCCAAGTACGCCGCAGCCGCCCCTCCGCCCAAGCCGCCGCCCCTCCGTCCAAGTACGCCCCAGCCGCCCTTCCGCCCAAGTACGCCGCAGCCGCCCAAGTACGCCCCAGCCGCCCAAGTACACCACCGGCCCCAGCCGCCCCCAAGCACACCACCGGTGCCCCTCCAAGCACGCCCCAGCCGCCCCTCCAAGTACGCCACAGCCGCCCCTCCAAGTACGCCACAGCCGCCCCTCCAAGTACGCCACAGCCGCCCCTCCGACTTATGACTTCAAAGTTTGACCTTTTTGCTGCCAAAGCCATTTTTGTGGTTTCTTGCTGGCCGGGGACACTGAGGTTGACCTGGAAGTGATGTCACACATTTCCGGGTCATAAACAAGGAAGAGAGAAGAGTAGACATGTGTCGGCTCTCCTCCCTCCCCTTTACCCAGCGGCACCTGCCATGTTGTGTGGAGGCAATCAGGCGCAGCCTCCCGAATGCTCCATCTGACAGAAAGGAGTCCGCCTGTCAGATTTACACACAATCCCGGGGCGGAAGCCGCCAGGAATGTATGTAACAGGTTGCTTCATTAACCTCTGCAGGAAAAAACTGACAATCAGCGAGGTGACTTACCTTTATGTTGGCGGTCCGTTCCTCGGAGAAACACGCCGACCACAAGCCAGGACTTGGCCCCCGATGTCCTCACACACACGGCTTGTGCCTAAGAGAGAAAATCACAACACTTAGAATTGGTTCTTTTGATGCACAGATTTCTCTCTGACCAATCACATCGAGGTGATCCGCTACAGCACCTTTCTCTGCCTTCTGTGCCGGGACCAGCTTGCTGTCTTACAAAAGACTCAGCCTGCGAATGGAACCACTTGTGTCCCACCAGCCATGTACTGGGGGGGGGGGCTCAGGCAAAGCGACACACTGTACACCACTGCCTGCTTCTGGGCTTGGGGGGGGGCGCATGCATGCCAACCTACTAGTCCGGGGGCTAAACCGGGGTTGCAACCTACTAGTCCGGGGGCTAAACCGGGGTTGCAACCTACTAGTCCGGGGGCTAAAATACGGGGCTCCAACCTACTAGTCCGGGGGCTAAACCGGGGCTCCAACCTACTAGTCCGGGGGCTAAACCGGGGCTCCAACCTACTAGTCCGGGGGGCTCCAACTAAACCGGGGCTCCAACCTACTAGTCCCGGGGGCTAAACCGGGGCTCCAACCTACTAGTCCGGGGGCTAAACCGGGGTTGCAACCTACTAGTCCGGGGGCTAAACCGGGGCTCCAACCTACTAGTCCGGGGGCTAAACCGGGGCTCCAACCTACTAGTCCGGGGGCTAAACCGGGGCTCCAACCTACTAGTCCGGGGGCTAAACCGGGGCTCCAACCTACTAGTCCGGGGGGCTAAACCGGGGGCTCCAACCTACTAGTCCGGGGGGCTAAACCGGGGCTCCAACCTACTAGTCCGGGGGCTAAACCGGGGCTCCAACCTACTAGTCCGGGGGCTAAACCGGGGCTCCAACCTACCAGTACCGGGGACATTTTTAACCAAAACCGAATTGAAATCTGGAACTTTTAGGAACATCCGCGGCTTTTAAATCAAAAGGTGCTTTATGGTGACTTATGCCGGCCATACACGGGTCAAAATCTCGACCGATTTTTTTTGTCCTAAAATCGGACCTTAGAATAATCGGCCGATTTTCGCTCTGTTAGTGGGGTCAATGGCAGCGGACAATTTTCGTGGTTCCTCCCCTTTTCGGTGATCGGGCATGTTGGAAAATTCGTGAAAAACGACCGATTTTCAATTCAATGGTCAAATCGTACGATCGTTTTTCCAAAAAGAACATGCGCCGTGAGCCGTGACCTGCAAGGAACAGAAGATTCGCCTGCTATATGGGGGGAACTTTATGACTCGGTCAGCCGATTTTTTTAAATCATTGATGGCGCCATCGGATTACCGAGCGAACGAACGTTTCCGATTTTTGGGCGGAAAATCGTTCGGAATTCGACCCGTGTATGGCCGGCATTAAAGCGTCGCCCATCAGTGCCCAACATCAGCGTCGCCCATCAGTGCCCAACATCAGCGTCGCCCATCAGTGCCCAACATCAGCGTCGCCCATCAGTGCCCAACATAAGTGTCGCCCATCAGTGCCCAACATAAGCGTCGCCCATCAGTGCCCAACATAAGCGTCGCCCATCAGTGCCCAACATAAGCGTCGCCATCAGTGCCCAACATAAGCGTCGCCCATCAGTGCCCAACATAAGCGTCGCCCATCAGTGCCCAACATCAGCGTCGCCCATCAGTGCCCAACATAAGTGTCGCCCATCAGTGCCCAACATAAGCGCCGCCCACCATCAGTGCCAAACAACCGTGCCGCCCATCAGTGCCCACCATCAGCGCCGCCCATCAGTAGTGCCGCCCACCATCAGTAGTGCCGCCCCACCATCCGTGCAGCAGCCGAACATCAGTGCCCAACATCAGTAGTGCCGCCCCTACCATCAGTGCCGCCCATCAGTAGTGCCGCCCACCATCAGTAGTGCCGCCCACCATCAGTAGTGCCCACCATCAGTGCCGCCCACCATCAGTGCCGCCCAATAACACACATCAGTGGAGAACAATGACCGGATTGGAAAAGTTTATAACAGAAACAAAAGAAAAACTTTTTTTCACATTTCTTGCTTTTTTGTTTATAGTACAAAAAATAATGTGGGGGGGGGGGGGGGGGGGGGAGTACAGACCCCTCCCCCCCACCCCCCCCGGACCCGGAGTACAGACCCCTCCCCAGTACAGACCACCGAACAAAGCTGTGAGGAATGGTGCACAGGTCACGTGTGCGCGATGTCACATGACCGCGATTGTCCTCCGAAGTGACACACCGCTGACAGCTGAACAGGGGCAGGGAGGGGGAGACGTGTCCGGTCACATCATCCACATCCGGGAACATTGCCTGTCTTGGTTTTCCCGCCATCACACACAGCGGCTCCTCACCTCTCCTCCGGGCTCCCCGGCCAGGTTGTCCTTCACACTTCCCAGCCATTTTCTCTCTCCCCTCACGCGCACCAACTCTCCCACCGAAGTAACACTCTGCACAGCTCCGCACGTCGACGCGGATAAGACGGAGAGGCGCATGCGCGGACAGAGGACTGGACAGCCCGCCTTCAAAAACAAGACGAAGAGCGGACAGCGCCGCTCTTAGAAGCTGGAGGGGGGGAACTGCAACTGGAATCAGCTCCTCCGGGCGCACAGCAGATACAGCGGGGATGCGGGTTTTTTGGCTGCATTTCAATTCCAGCTGCCTGGATCCGGGGGCGTCCGACCTTCCGGCCTTCCATCGGGAGAAGGCGAATTGTTTTGGACCTACACATAAAAAGAAACAAAAAACATTCACAATTTTGAATTGCGGGCAGAAATCATCACCCTCAGCCCATAATCCCGGGGTCGCACCGCAGTCGCTGCAAAACGCACCACACGTGCTTCATACCTCCCAACTGTCACTGATTCCGAACAAGTCCCGCTGTCCTCATTTCTCCCCCTGCCCCTCCGCCCCCTGTCCTCCTGCCCCTCCGTCCCCCTGTCCCCTGCCCCTCCGCCCCCTGTCCTCCTGCCCCTCCGTCCCCCTGTCCTCCTGCCCCTCCGTCCCCCTGTCCTCCTGCCCCTCCGCCCCCTGTCCTCCTGCCCCTCCGTCCCCCTGTCCTCCTGCCCCTCCCGCCCCCTGTCCTCCCTGCCCCTCCGCCCCCTGTCCTCCTGCCCCTCCGTCCCCCTGTCCTCCTGCCCCTCCGCCCCTGTCCTCCTGCCCCTCCGTCCCCCTGTCCTCCTGCCCTCCGCCCCCTGTCCTGCCCCCTCCGTCCCCCTGTCCTCCTGCCCCTCCGCCCCCTGTCCTCCTGCCCCTCCGCCCCCTGTCCTCCTGCCCCTCCCGTCCCCCTGTCCTCCTGCCCCTCCCGCCCCCTGTCCTCCTGCCCCTCCGTCCCCCTGTCCTCCTGCCCCTCCGCCCCCTGTCCTCCTGCCCCCCGTCCGTCCCTGTCCTCCTGCCCTCCGTCCCCCTGTCCTCCTGCCCCTGTGTTCCCCTGTCCCTGTGTCCCCCTGTCCTCCTGCCCCATCCGTGCCCCTGTGTTCCCCTGTCCTCCTGCCCCTCCGTCCTCCTGCCCCTCGTTTCCCCTGCCCCTCTCTTCCTCTGTCCTCTTTGCCCTTCTATCCCCCTGTCCCTCCATCTCTCTGCCCCTCTGTCCCCCTGCCCCTCTGTCCCCCTGCCCCTCTGTCCTCCTCATTGTCCCTCATTCTGGTCTGATCTCTGTACTTGTATTTAAAAGATGTACTATTTATCAAAAAGTGTTTCCCAGTGCCAAATCTTTCATCCATCTTTTTATTTGGAGGGGGGAGGTTGTGCTATGAGGGGTGATTTGTGTTAGGAGGGGGGATTGGGAGGGGTTGTGCTAGGCGGGGGGGATTTGTGTTAGGAGGGGGGATTGGAAGGAGTTGTACTAGGAAGGGGGATTGGGAGGGGTTGTGCTAGGAGGGGGGATTGGGAGGGGGTTGTGCTAGGGATAGGGGATTGGGAGGGGTTGTGCTAGGCGGGGGGGGGGGGATTTGTGTTAGGAGGGGGGATTGGAAGGAGTTGTACTAGGAAGGGGGATTGGGAGGGGTTGTGCTAGGAGGGGGGATTGGGAGGGTTGTGCTAGGAAAGGGGATTGGGAGGGGTTGTGTGGGCTAGGCGGGGGGGGGGGGGATTTGTGTTAGGAGGGGGGATTGGAAGGAGTTGTACTAGGAAGGGGGATTGGGAGGGGTTGTGCTAGGAGGGGGGATTGGGAGGGGTTGTGCTAGGAGGGGGGATTGGGAGGGGTTGTGCTAGGTATAGGGGATTGGGAGGGTTGTGCTAGGCGGGGGGGGATTTGTGTTAGGAGGGGGGATTGGAAGGAGTTGTACTAGGAAGGGGGATTGGGAGGGGTTGTCTCCATAGACCTGCATAGTTGCCAACTCTCATGAATTGCCCAGGACACGCGCAGATTTTTGAATGCTGTCCTGAGAGGTCCTTGTCCCGGGCAGCATCCCAAAAAATCAAAGCAGGTCACAGACAGTGAAGCGCTGCAGGTGGCTCCTGCACCCACGTCCAGATAACAGACACATGGGGAAGCTGCGACTGTGTGCTCCGTTCCCGCACTGCCTGGAGGAGTTTGCATTCATGGTGACACTACTCTCCGGGGTCCTGAAACCCCCTCCCCCCATGTCTCCCCCACCAGTGATCCTTACCCATATCTCTACATTCCTTGTATGCAGAGGGAGGAAAAAGAAGATTTCTGCCCCCCCCCGCCATGCTCTGTAAACTCTGGATGGCTTCAGCTGGAGGGGTGAGTGTGGAGGGGGGCAGAAATGAAAGCTGCTGAAAGCATTGGGGGGGGATGAAATGTTCCAGGAGTCGGCTGGAGTTTGCAAGCAGAGAGTCGGCCGGGATGGGTGTGTCCCCCATGCAGCCGGCTTCAGTTGCAGTATGTGGGTGTCACTGCAGCTCGGGGTCAGTGAATGCGTCTCCCATTTACAGACATATCTGCCCAGCCATTTCCATCCATCACCTCTCAAGGGCTCTTTCACATGAGGGCTGCTGAGCCATACTTTTACCGCCACCCCTGGCTGCATGCCCAATCATGCTTTACTCTGCAGCTGCTGCCTGTTGAAGACTGCAGAGTCTGACAGCCGGCATTGCTGGTCAAACTCTCCCATGGAGGACAATGGGGCTGCTCTGTACGTGTGACACCAATGCCTCGCTCGCAGTCCCAGCTCAGTCCCGCAATGTGACACTGACATTCAGCAAAAAAAAAAAGTAAAAAATAAAAACCAGGCATCAGGAGGTGGTAGGAGCACCCCCCCATGTCATTCCCCCCCTCATGTCACTGTCCTCCCCACATGTCACTGTCCTCCCATATCGAGTCCCCCCCCCCCATGTCACTGTCCTCCCCCACATGTCACTGTCCTCCCCATGTCATTCCCGTCCCCCCCCCCTTCATGACACTCTGACCTTCCCCCATGTCATTCCCCCCCCCCCTTCATGTCATTCTGTCCTCCCCATGTCATTTCCCCCCCCCCCCTTCATGTCACTGTCCTCCCCATGTCATTCCCCCCCCTCATGTCACTGTCCTCCCCACATGTCCACTGTCCTCCCCATGTCATTCCCCCCCTTCATGTCACTGACCTCCCCATGTCATTCCCCCCCTTCATGTCACTGTCCTCCCCATGTCATTTCCCCCCCCCCCCATCATGTCACTGTCCTCCCCATGTCATTTCCCCCCCCCGCCCTTCATGTCACTGTCCTCCCCATGTCATTCCCCCCCCCCCTCATGTCACTGTCCCACCCCCACATGTCACTGACCTCCCCATGTCATTCCCCCCTTCATGTCATTGTCCCTCCCCATATCAGTCCCCCCCCCCCCCCATGTCACTGTCCTCCACATGTCATGCCCCCCATGTCACTGAAAACCCCCCCACATGTCAGTGTCTTCCCCATGTCACGTTCCCCCCATGTCACTGACCCCCCACACATGTCACTGTCCTCCCCATGTCACTTCCTCCCCCCATGTCACTGTCCTCCCCATGTCACTGTCCCCCCCAAATGTCACTGTCCTCCCCATGTCAGGGCCCCCCCCCCCACTGTCCACCTCCCACATGTCACTGTCCTCCCCATGTCATTACCCCCCCTCATGTCACTTTCTCCCATGTCAGTCTCCCCCCCCTCATGTCACTGTCCCCCCACATGTCCACTGTCCTCCGCATGTCATG